AAAAATAAAAAAGAGGGCTTAAACCAGGTGCCTTTAAAATGTAATACTAACACTGAGGCTTCAAAACACGTTTTATTCTCTAATAAAAAGAAATACTGCCCTAGCTGGATTGGTTCAGTGGATAGTGTCTGCCTGAGGACTGAAGGGTCCCGAGTTCGATTTGGGTCAAGGGCACAGTGCTGGGTAGGGGACGTGCAGGAGGCAGCCAAATCAATGATTCTCTCTCATCGTGGATGTTTCTATCTCTCTCCCTCTCCCTTCCTCTCTGAAATCAATAAAAATACATTTTTTAAAAAAAACAAATATACCAAGTCCTATCCCAGAAGTTTATACATACATATACACATATATATACATATATATACACATACACATATATATACATATATATACACACACATATATATATTTATATATATATAAAATCCCTGTGGGCTTTTGGTTTGTAAGTACAGAAATCAAAAGGTTCTACTGAGGAAGTGGGGGGGAGGTACATATATCAACAATTATTTTATTAAATACTTAACAGTATTTATAAATGAAACAAGATCGGCCCTTGCAGGGGAACTAACTCAGAAATGCAATAGAGCTCCAGCGTCTGGGGGATGCTGGATTCTCGGTGACCCTTCGGTGATTACCTCTCTGCAGCCTCGGGCTTGGCTGACCGCCCAGGAAGCCAGAGGTCCCCCCGAACGCCAGCGCCCAGGAGTGAGGCTGATGAGCGCAGAGTGGGGGCAACTGCCTGGCATTATCCGTTAACTTAGAAATGCATGTTCTTCCCGGCGGCCCGTGCGACTTACCCACCACTCGCTTTTACTATTAAACCTATAAAAAAGAAACCCTGTCCCGGGAGGGTGTGGATTGCCTCCCCCGCGGCCCCCACGGGGAACACACAGCTGCTTTGCCCAAGCAGTAGGTCCCTCCCATCAAAGCTCCTGCGAACTTGAATAAGCCCCTGCGGGTCCGTTCTTCGGAATCAATCCTGAATGTGGACGTTTGGGGCTTTCCCCCAACAGCCCATCACTGTGGTTGTTGCTGAAGCTGGAGGAGGGAATTCATTATACTCCTGACTCCTGTCTGTCTGAAATGTTCGCCATACAAAGTTAAAAATAAACACGTAAACGTAACAGAGAAATTACAATTCCCCATAAGAGCGAAGACCAGCTCTTAATGTTGATGTTACTGCTACCGAGAGTGACATGGCTCTCCTATTACCTCATTATTAAACAGGCGGCTTGTCTCCCGTTCCCTGGGAAAGTTTCTGCGGCTCGAGTTCCAAGTCCTCGCCCCGAGCACCCGGAAGGGGAGCCGCGAGCACCCCGGAAGGGGAGCGCCGAACACACACAGAGGAGAGAGCCGGAGCCGGGGCCGGGCCAGGGGCTCCTCACCTCAGAGTTCTTTTCATTGATTTTTCTAAAGATATAATATACCTACAAATGCATCAGAGTCAGTCCAGGAGGCCGGAGACACAACCTTCCGAGGTCTTCCCGAGCCAGAGGACGTGGGGTAGGAACGCCGCTTTCCGGTCCCGGAAAGTGCAGACCGAGCCCTTTCACCGACGGGCACCGGAGCCCAGGCCGCGGCGTCCCCGCCCCAGGGGAGAGACGCCAAGGGACAGAAAGGGACAACACGAAAGACTGGCGGCTTCAAGTATCTCGGACCAAAGATTCCCCATGCAGCTCGCGACCCCGGCCCGCCCCCGGCTTCGCGCCGCAGCTGCTCGGGCCTGACCTCCGGCCTCACCCCGACATCCACTACCCTCCCCTTTCTCCTCACCTGCCACGTCAAGGCCCTTGGAACCCGGGGCTGGGGACTTCTAAATCCCGGCCGCGGCGCCGGGAGGAAAACAAAGACCCTCGGCGGGGAGGATGCCAGACTCACCGGACCGAAACCAGGCGGGAACGCGGCAGAGACGGACTCCAGAATCCAGGTCCAGCATCCAAAATGGCGGTTCCGCCGGCCGCAGCACAGCC